TGTGTCTGATAGTTTATGACAAATCAAGGTTAGATCTATATCTGAACACAGTATATATACAGCAGCATTGCACACAAGGCCACTAAAGTAATATCAATAGTTGTTGATGTTTTCCTCAGCACTGCTTCGGAATATTAAAATAGGCTAGATGTAGTTCAGTATCAGGACTTCCTGAGAAGCATTGCATACTACCAGTTAAAAATGCAAAAAAAATTTCCATGATTCAGGACATTCACAGCAAGGTTAAATTCATTCCATGAGTACCTTCTTATACCTTCCTATGCAATAAGATATAGCAGCAACAATATGGATGTGGGCAGTGCTTTTTTCTGGGGGGGGCACAGGGATGTGGGTAGCTCTGTTGGTTAAAATGTGGTGCTGATAACGCCAGGGTTGCAGGTTCAATCCCCAGAAGGGACAGCTTCATATTCCAGCTGCCCTGCAAGGGGTTGAACTAGATAATCTTCAGGGTCCTTTGCAACTCTACAATTCTATGATTTCTATGATATAGAATTAGGCTGCATTCACATGGCAATTTATTCTACTTTCATAATTTCCCCCCTACCTGTTAAGTTCAGTATTATATTTGCACTGCCACATGACATTAAAGGCACTTCTGGAACTATAATAGAATATAGTGCAAGTTTAATTTCCATATTATTTGCTTCCAGAATCCATTTGCAAATAATATGAGTGCTCAACTTGACTTTTATTCTACTGTACACCCACTATAGTTCTGGAAGTGGCTTTTACATTGTGTAGAAGCTCAAATGTGGAAATTAAGAGCTAGGGAAACTTCATGGAAACAGAATAAGCTGCCATGGGAATGAAGCCTTTTTCTGTTACAATTCTAAAATTATGGAGCCATCACCACTGAAGGGGGTGTCCAGACAACTCTGAGTGGTGAATGAGTTAACTGAGTCATGAATGGAATTGTCATGCCCCCTCACGCTAACATCAGTGCTCCCTTCATACTATTAACAAATGTTCAGCCACAACAGAGCATCATCCCCAGTGTGTCAGCCTCAAACAGAACTTGGTTGGTAGCCACAATTGCTTCCTCTTCTTCACATGTTCACGAAATGTGGAGTGGGGAGTCTGAACAACCCTAAGAAGTCTATTGTTTATTTATTTAAATTTCTATACCGCCCTTCACCCGAAGATCACAGGACAGTTTACAATATAAAAAACCACAAGAATGCATCACATAGTAACAAACAAAAATAATACACACAGAGAGAGAGAGAGTTTAAAATGCCATCAATTGTTTAATTAGCCAAAGGCCTGGGCGAAGAGGAATATTAGACACTTTACGCAAAACTTCAAAGTCTTCTTTTCAGACTAGCTTGCAAATCCTGAATTTGCTTGTTGGAGCTGCAACCTTAGTTTGCCACTTGGGTTCAAAGTGGTTATTGGTTGGCTATTTATTTATTTCAGAAAATTTATATGCTGCTTGATTGTAAAAACAAATAAACCTCCAAACGGTTTGCCAAACTTACGTTTTGCGTTCATTTTTTGTTGTGGCTTTCTGTGTTGTTTTATTGCTGGTTGTTATTTTATTGAAAGGTGGACCCGAAATGTTTCAACCAAAGAAATTAAGCTGCTGTAAGGTTAACAGCCATGTGATGTCTTTCAATGTGAGCCATTTGCATAATGGTGTGCATTTCCCTCACATGATCCAAAGCATAAAACCACAACTAAGAGTAGCAGACAGGGGAGGGGGTATCTCATTGTGAGCAGATGCAAAGACATTCAATTTCTTGGGCCTTAGATTTCTTCGCATTTCCAGAAACAGGCAAATGAGGCGATCTGACAGCAGCATGATTTCAGTGGGAAGGCAATGCTCAGCAAGGCTGAAAGGACCATTATTGGAAATATTCTAGATTAAGGTTACCAGAGTTTTTTTCAATGAATCCGGGGACACATTAATTAATTAATTAATTAATTAATTAATTACTACACGTTCAGGATGTTGATGCTGCAGCGATGGTGGTGGCAGAGGAGCAGCTGCTGCCTTGACCTCAACCGCCATGTTTCCCCTTCCTCTGAGGCTTCTATCTCCTTTCTCCATTAGCCTGGGCAGCCCCTGAGTTGTTGGTTCTTCAGTGGTGGTGGTGGGGAAGTGGTGTGCAGTGGGTCAAGCATGCAAGGCAGAGAAGGAGAGTTGAGAGCGGCGGTCGCAGTGAGGCTTGGGCAGTGCGATGCCTCCCTTCCCATTGGAGTAACCCCAATCCCATTCCTACTTGCGTGCAAGCAGGAGGGGGCAGGGATCCCTCAGCTGGGAAGGCGGGCTCCCCATTGCCTAAGTGAGAGATCCCTACCCCCTCCAGCTTGCACGCAAGTAGGAGCTGGGATGGGGCTGCTCCGATAGGCAGCATGAAGCCTCCCTTCACAGCATAGTTGCTGGGGTCAGGAAAGGTGGAGGCAGCCCGGAAGCTGCATCTTCGAGCACCACCATCATATGAGGACTTCTGAGCTGCTCCTGAAGCCAGCCAGAGCCAACTGCTCCAGGCTGCTGAGACTGCCGCTGCTGCATTTCCCAGGGACATGAGATGAAATCCGGGGACATTCTGGGGATGGAATTTGTCCAGGGACTTATTCGCAAATCCAGCAACTGTTCCCAGGGATGTCTTCTAAAAGTCAGATAGAAGAAGAGTGAGGATTTGATAACCTGCTTTATCACTATCCTAAGGAGTCTCAAAGCGGCTAACAATCTCCTTTCCCTTCCTCCCCCACAACAAACACTCTGTGAGGTGAGTGAGGCTGAGAGACTTCAGAGAAGTGTGACTAGCCCAAGGTCACCCAGCAGCTGCATGTGCAGGGACGGGGAATTGAACCCAGTTCACCAGATTACGAGTCTACTGCTCTTAACCACTACACCACACTGGCTAGTTTATTTCCTTGACATCTGGTGGGAGGGCATTCCACAGGGTGGATGGCACTACCGAGAAGGGCCTGGTTCCCTGCAAGAAGTGAAGGGCCTTCTCGGTAGTGCCAACCAGAAGTTGCCTTGTTCCCTGCAACCTCACTTCTTGCAGTGTGGGAACCACCAGAAGGCCCTTGGAGTTGAACTCTCAATGTCCGGGCTGAACGATGGGGGTGGAGACGCTCCTTCAGGTATACTGGGCCGAGGCCGTTTAGGGCTATAAAGGCCAGCACCAACACTTTGAATTGTGCTCGGAAACATATTGATATTCTGTGATCAGGGCACTGTGGAAAATTTAAAAAGGCAAGTGGTTTGTTGCTGTCCTGCAAGTTGTAGTACTTTGGTGCTGGCTTCCCATAGCCACTTCTGCCAGGGGAGATGTCTATTGAGCCATGTCAACAATCGCCCAACAGAGGCCGATGCTCATTGAGACTGGTGGGCATTAGGAATGTCTGACTTCACCCACTGCTCACTGGATCCCTCAAAAACCCATCTCACAGAGAAGGATGGGACCTCAACGGAAAATGAGAAGCGTGCCTCTCTAAGTGTGCCTGAGTGAGGTGTGAACCAAGAAAGAACATGCAAACCAAGACTGAAAAATGAAACCTTCATTTATTGAAACTAAATAATAAAGCATATAAGTCACACAGTGGAGTGTTGTGACTAAACTATGCCTAGCCACAGGAATAAATAAAACTGCAGTTGCATTAGATTATAGATCTAAAGGTTTTGAAATGCCCTATGCTAGAAGGAGGATAATGAGAGGTTTGGGAGTATGATATGTGCCATACAATTTCCCAGAAAATAGAGACAGATGCTTAGGTTTTACCTTTTTCTGGTTCTCACTGAGGAACTCCTTGCCACTGGAAGCATGCAAGTGTGCAGAAGAGGGCTTAACCGGAAGCAACCAGAAGGTTCTGTGTTTCTCAGCTCTGCAACCAGAAGGTTCTGTGTTTCTCAGCATCAGAAACCCCTCTCCAAAGCTGCCTGGCTTTGAATCTAACAAAAGCTGCCCTTGTGCTCAGAGTGAAAGAGGCATGATGGATCTAATTAACAATTCAAAGACTATTTAACAATTCAAAGGAAAACAGCTAATTAACAATTCAAAGACTAACCACTTCAATACACTTTTACCTCTTATAGCTAGCTGTGTGTGCCTGAGGGAGGGTTTCTTTAGTGACCTCAAATGATAGCTGACCCATGATGAGACAATACTCTCCTTAAGGTTCAAATTTTTATGCCCCTGGGGTAGATGTGCAGCTTCACTTCAGATGCCTTAACATGTTTTTCAATAAGCAATCCCTTGATCTATTCCTAGCCTTGCCATGAATAATCTATAATCGGGGGAAATTAACTTCTAGCCAGGACTAGATAAAAAATCGTCAAGGCATACATCAGGGGCCATATTTCAAGTCTGCCAGTGTTATTGTCTGTTTGTTTTGCTGCAAATAAAGACAGGAGGCTTGTGTTCATGTCATGTAGTGTTTAATGGAGATAAAAGGGTGGGGTAGGGGACAGATGACAATATATCACAGGGTACACATGGCTTGTACCTGGCCTCAATCTACTGGATTCTGGTGCTATGTGCCATCCTCACATAGGGCAGAGCAGTGGAGCCAGAGCATCTTTCTCTCCATCCTTAGACTAAGGAGGAAGTAGCTGGCAGACACTGGATGGAAGTAAGAAGGCAGATGGGTGGGAGCTTTTGCATGGGGTTTATAGGCAGCATTAAAGTGGAAATTTTGGGATTAGGCCGTGTAGCCTTATTGCTGTAACAGACTGGATTATCCCCCCTTTCCCTCTTAATTAAAAGAATAGTGCAACAGACAGTAGATTAAGCATACAAATAGTGTTTACTTACTTGCACTTGGTGCCAGCAGTAACAGTAATGAAAACAAGGTGGGCAAATTCAGCTACTAGGTTATAAAATTCATATTTGACTTCAAAATGAAATCTCTGCTTGAGCGGAGATCATACAGACATCCGTCTGCCTGAGAAGCCTTGTGAAAAAGAGGCTGAGTTCTGAGGCAGGGACAGTAGAAAAGATTAAACTCTTTTGTCTTTTTCCCACCAGAGAACTCAAGGGAAGTGATGTCACACAGTGCCCTCTCTAGTAATCAGGAACTCTGTGAGTCTTAACCCTTTCGTATCCTTATTTAGCAAACACACATTGTTAGATTTTGGGTGCATATTCCTACAGGACTGAGGACAAACTGAGTTAGTGGGGCAGTGCCCCATTCATCATAACGGGCCAGCATCTACTGCAATACCCTAAACCTTTTGCCAGCCCTGCAAATAATTTTTAATACATTAACACCGGTCACAAAGTTCAAGATGAAGATTAACTGTTGGTATTATTTCTTCTTGCTACTGACAGGATAGTTGAATAGAAGGCAAAGTACCAGGAACCCTCAAGCCTGGTTCACCCTGAGCCTGGTACTCTTGTCTCCTGCTGAATTTGCCCCTGCCCCATGGTATCTGCTAGGCTGGGAATGTGGTACTCCTATCCCTTTGAATGTGGTACTGTTTCCTCCCAGGGTTACAAAGTCCTAAAGTTGCTCACGTGACAAGACCCCAGTACCAAGAAGTTTGAGAAGCGTCGAACAGTAAACCATTGTACAATGACCTCCTCCCTCCATGTCCATCTAATGTCACCACCTAGACCGATGTCAGAGACAGTTTTCAATGACTCCTAACTAGAGCTGGATTCATAAGGGTGACCTAGAGATGTCAAATTCTGCATCTCATTCTCAGTCCTGCCAGGTGGAAAAAGTGCTTGCTGGCTCGTGAAATATTGCCAGGTAAATTAGCATTTGACAGAGTCCTCTCCCTCTCTCCCTGGCTGATGGGAGTTATAGATTTTCTTTCCGTCACAGAGAGCTGCGCTGCCGATAAGCCACACTGAAGGACTGCTTTCAAAGGGTAAGGAACTATTTCAGTCTGTTCCTCTGATTACCCATGGATTTGGGTGGGTTTTGTGTGCTTGTGTAGTATGTACTGCTCAACAAAACTCCCACTGAGTAATGCTGCTTTCTATTAGAGCAGCAAGCCCTGCATCCTGGCTTTGGGATTTTCAGCTTTGGAACTTCCAGATGTGCCTGCCGTAGCCATCGCTGCAGCTGTCCTAAGTAGCAAGGAAACCAGTGCTTGAAGGCCATTGATTTTATACAGATACATCTTGCATTGGCTTACAAGAGGGGAAATGGAACTCGCCCTCCTCCCCGAGTTGTCAAAGACAACAGCCTGCAGACAAATGTGATTAGCAATCACCTGTAAGTAATAGAGGATCTCTCCACGATATCCCTCCCTAATCCAAAGGAAAACAAATGTCCCCATTGCCCTAGGGATAAAAATCAATGTGCACACATATAAAGAGGGTTGGTTTAAGCTGCTTGTATATGTGGCAGGTCCATGGAACCCCGGGTGTGTGACATAATAAACAGAGCAGAGGTAGGGAAACTCAGGCCCAGGAGCCAAATGCAGCCATCTCTGTCTGGCCCTCGGAATTCTCCCCCAGCCACCCCCTTCACTGGCTGTGCTTTGCATTCAAGGTGCCTGACTAGAAGGTCCCTTGAGTTCTGATCATAATACATTGCAGGGGGTTGGACTAGATTGGCCTTTGGGATCCCTTCCAACTCTAGAATTCTGTGATTCTATGATTCTTGAACAGGGCAGTCCTCATACCAAATGGGCCGCAAGAGTACTTGAACATGGAACCCATGGGTTGCACACTGCCTTGTCATGTAGGGGGCAAAGGAAGTGAAGCCAAAATTTGATGCCCTCCCCATGCTGCCTTCCCAAAGCCAGATAAGCGAGGTGCCAGACTTTTGGGAGAATGCGCAGGGCTCTGGCAGAGTCTGAGAGCCTTCCCAAAACTGGGAAAGTACTAACTAGGCTTTGGGAAGGAGACTGGAAGACTCTAGGACCCTATCAGAGCCCTCACCCCTCCTCCCCAAAGCCCAGCACCTTGCTTACCCAGCTTTGGGAAAGAAGCACAAGGGCTGGCGGGGGAGGGGGTGGAATGTCAAATATTGCCGAGGGCCACCAAAAAGTCCTTGAGGGCCGCATGAGGGACTAGATTAGTTAGCCTTGAATCAATGCGGTCTACGGGCACCATTTATTTAATCAGGTGTATGTGCAGCAGTTTCCTGCGGACACAGCACCCAATAGAGGGAAATTGTTTGCATGGCAGTACTCATTCATCTGAACACACTACGGTGTACTGTGACTCTCCCACACTCACCCAGTTCTGAACAGAGGCTGTAGATCCTATCGCAGCATCTTCCAGCATTGTTGCTATCACAGGAATGTCCCAACACTCTGATCTTCTTGACTCACAGCTCTTTTGACCTATAAAGCTAATGCTAAAATCCTCAGATTGGCTTCAGATGGTTGGAGACCTGGGGGGCAAAAAGGAGGCAAAGGCGACTTCCACTTCCTGTTTTGCACTCCAGCACACTCTCAGTAACAGGAAGTGCATGGTCTGCTCCTTAGTATTGGGCTCAAGCCTGCCACATGTCCAAGAGACCACCAACAGAGATGAGTAAAGGCAGACTTCTGTATTTGGTGCATGATGACTACGAAACAGGGATAAGCAAGACACTTCAGAGAAGGGCAAAGGGAGCAAAGGTCCTCTGAGGGGATCTTTACCATGGATTATGAGGATACTAGATGTCTGCAATTTACAACTGGGGTTAGGAGGAAAGGACCACAGCTCAGGAGCAGGTGTTTTGCAAGCAGAAGGCTGCAAGTTCAATCCTGGGAATCTCCAGTTAAAAGGATCGGGTTACAGGTGATGGGGAAAGATCTTTTCCTGAGACCCTGGAAAGCCAGTGCCATTCAGGACAGAGGGACAAACAGTCTGATCCTGGTAGGAAGCAGTTTCCCACTTTCCTAAAAGGACTTCTTTTTCCCCTCCATTGTTTAAAAGTTCCTAGTCCTTATGACTGGGGAAATGAACTTGAACAATTAAAAAAAATTCAGAAGCCAAAAAAGTGCTAAGCAATAGCATGTATGTATGTATGTATGTATGTATGTATGTATGTAATTTGTATACCACCCTTCACCTGAAGATCACTGAGCAGTTCACAACATAAAAATACGAAATGAGAACGCAAAATACATAATAAAACAAAAACAAACTAAAAAGCCCCTCTCCAAAAACATAAACAAGACCAAAAAAAACCCCAATTTCAAAGGTCATAGAAGGCCAAAGGCCTCGTTACAAAGAAACCTTTCAGCCTGGCAACTAAATATATGTCATGAAGCACTAGGCAAGAACATGTAATATTTGTATAATTCTCTTCTTTCTACAGGAATCCATGGAATGAGATGGTGTTTCCTGACCCTCCTGGTGTCTAGTAGAAGCCAATTAAGCAAATAGATACAAATTAGCTTAATTTTCATTATTATTATTATTATTATTATTATTATTATTATTATTATTATTTCACAGATCTTTGCTTTTCCTGATGCCCAGTATCCGGGGGTGAGTGTTTTGAGCTCAGACTCGGCTCCATAACACACCCACCACCGTACCTGCCTTGACAGAGGCGCGGCTCTGCCCTGGTTCCTTCCTCCCCACCCAGGTGTGGCCGCTCTGCGCGGGGGCTCCTCCAATCAATCCCATCCTCCCTCCCGTTTGGCACACAGTTTAAATAGCCGCGCGGGGACGGGATGTCATTTCGATTCTCCGGGGACAAATAAATGGAAGTTTCATCAGAGCGTCCCGCCAGATTGCCGATGTAATAGGTTTCGGGAGCGAGAGGAAGGTGGGTGCCAAGGATTATTAATAGTGCCGCTTGATTAGTTAGGGAAAGGTAAATGTGATACTGCCATCACCGTCCCCGAGTATCTGACACCGGCGAGGAGGGGGACATCGCCTTCCCGAAATAGAAGAGGCAAGGAGCCTATATAAGTGGGGTGCCCACCCGGGGTTTCACCTTCCTGTGTGAGCACCTTCAAAAACCCACCAGCCTTTCCTAGCGCGCCTGGCACAAACATTAGACAGGTAAGTTTCAGGAATGGAGGCAGAGAGAGTGGATCCCGTTACTCCAAGAAGGATTCATCTGTGGGTTTGGGAGACGAGGGGGGTGGGTCTGTAAAGGTGCGGTGTCTCTCTCTACCTGTAGGGTACAACTCTCCCACCCCAATAAAACAGAAGTATCCCCCGCGTTAGAAGAAGCTCGGGGCTGCTTCTTTTTTCTCCTTCCCCAGCAAGGCAATCGGAACAGGTGAAGGAGGGAAATCCAAAAAGGAGGAAACTTCAAAGGGAGGAGAGGGCGGTGGAACTGGCATGGGGAAGCGAGAAGCGGGATTTATTGAGAAAGCACGGGAAGGGGAGGAATAATTCAACCAGGGTGTGCCTTAAAAAGACCTTTTTTGAAGCTAGAGAGAAGGGCGGAGGCGAGCATCTGATCTCGGTGCGTATTTGTGCGTGGAAAGTCCGAGATCAGGGAACGAACAATCGCTTTGAGTAAGAGATTGCCAAGCGCCCTCATCGGCTGCCTGTTTAGCTGGGCCCTCGTGCGCTCTTGTAACCCCCAAGATGATGGCAACCCGAATGTTTGCCCCCGATTTGCTCTCGGGGATATGTTTTTCTTTCGTAAAAACCCTGCATATAAACGTGAGCAGCACTTGCCACATTTCTTCAGGGGAAGAAGTGTGTGTGTGTGTGTGTGTGTGTGTGTTTAAAGTCAAGTGTGCAAAGTTTGGAGATGATTTCAAAAGAGGCAGGCAGGAAAACTGAGAACTGCAAAGATGAGGCAGGCGTATTCTTCCATCTCTGCTTGCGGCTTGGACCAAAGAGCGCTCAGGTGTCAAGAGAGAGACAGAGAGAGCGAGAGAGCGCAGGGCTGAGGGCCTGCGGAGCGCAATGCATGCTGCGGCGGTCCTCTTGAAGCCTCAGAGGTTCGAGCCCAGCTCTCAGTTTGCAAAAACAAGAAAAGCAATGCTTTATGTTCGCTTTTCGTGAGTGCGTAGGTGATCGAACCCTGTTAGCTTTTCCCACGTTTTACGCTTTACGTTGCCCTACTTGAAAGAGGCTTCCCCACTCAACCCCAAAATAAGTTGGACTGGAGCAGATTGCACAGACGGTTACCAGAACAGTTGTTATGTAGTTTTTAAATTAATGTAAGGTCCAGCATTTTTCCTTGCACCAGATCCTTAAAGCCTAAAGAAACGATTGTTCTCTGACGAAGAATCCTGTGTTACTCTAAAGCTTGCTTTCCTAACTTTGCCTGCAAAGGTGGCTCAACCATCGCCCACATCATTTGGTTTCATGTCAAAGACCCGCCTTCCGCTGGATTTTTCTTTATGTAATTGCTTTGCTTTCTTTCTAGTCCCCCCTTGGGGGCGTTGGTAACTCCTTGTTAACCTCGGAAACGGGAGCAGGGGGATAAAGGGCATCCCCTCGGCCTCCTATCACCTCCATCTTTCCTGTTAAGTAAAGGCTTGCGCAGGAGGAGCGCCAGCCCGGTTTGGCTACTTGCGGATGGGCTAGCAAAAGCGGAGCAGGCTGGAGGCGGGCCTGGGGCTGCAGTCCTCTAAATGCAATCGCACCTTCAGCTGAGCGGAGTGGGTGCGAAACTCGAGTCCTGCTCGCAGCAGCAGCAGCAGCAAGCGTCAAGCCGAGCATCTCTGCGGTCTGGCGGGCGGTCAAGGGAAGATCTGGCGCACCGTGACCCGAGGCGGCGCCTGAGTGCGAGGGGTTGCTGAGTAAGGGCCGCGGCAACCAGGGCAGAAAGTATCGGGTGTATCGTAGGGAACAGGTGCTGCTGCATCAACACCACCAAGCTCCTTCCTTCCCGCTTCTCTCTCTCTCTCCCTCTTTCTCTGCATGGAAAGACGGAGTTTTCAAGCAAGGGTCTACTTAGCCGCCTTCTCCAAATCGGGAGCAGTGGGGGGTGAGTGGGAGAGAAAGAGACCGAAGTTACAGCCTAGGGTGCTTTGGAGGGAAACCAGACGCCACGGCGACAAGTCAAACTGTGTTTAAACCAGGATCTGCTGACACGATCGTGTAGAAAGAAACGAGGTGGGAGGCTCTGGTTTTAACAGCAAAAGGGACGCGCGGATAAAGGGTGCAAGTGAAACTTCTCCCTGTCCCCACGGGCGTCCTCACTGCTTCCGCGGAGACCCCAAGCCTTTTTCTCTCTTCTGTACTGAAGGTGGGGGAGGGGGTAAAGCACTGGGGAAAGAGAGGCAAACCATGGCGAGTGATCTGCATCCCCAACACGCCCTTTCTCTGTTAAAATAGGACCTCACGATGTGATTTGTGGTGGACCACGTTTCTGCCCGACAAAGAGTTCTGTGTCACTGGAAAACCTGCATTCTCCTACAGATCCGCAATAAAGCAGCGATAGTTTTACACACACACGCCTATTTTGCAACGTCATACCAGGCAGAGGAACAGCTGGTGGTAGCATGAAAGTTATGTTTGACCCGAATTTCACACGGTTCGGGAGTTTCACAGAGCTCTTCCTCTGCCTTGTAACAGCAAGCAGTGGCAGGAGGAGAACCATTGCGGGTCACCTTCCCTGGGTGCGTTTCCTATGTAGTTAGGTGTGTTTGACAATAGCTAGGGAGGGTTTTCAAGAGGCAAACTCGTGTGGACCACATCAGATCTGGACTGGATGCTCCATGGCAGTTTTTTCTTCAAAGTAAAAGTGGCCAGCTGAAGCACTTTTTAAAAGGGTATTTAATGTTGGGTGCAGTTTGGCATATGAAGATGATTGGAAACTCCTGGACTGGATGAGAGTGCATAACGGGGAAAAGAGGATGGATAAAATCCCGGTCCTCAGCTTCCTATACTGTACTTCTGAAACTGCTTCGTCCTTGAAAGCATGGAAGAGTGGTGTGGCCCACAGTAGCTGCAAAAAGGGGTTGTCATGTTTTAAAGTGTAGCAGGAGAACCTGTCCCCCCCCCCCGATATTGTTGGACTCCAAATTCCATCAACCCCAAGCAATCACCTAGGATGATGGGAGTTGTAGTCCCAATAACATTTGATGGGTAGCAGGTTCCTCACCCCAGCCCTGCCTTTAAGATTAAACATGCATATATCACAGGTTCTTCTAAGCAAGAACCTATAGCTGTGCTAAAAGGTAAAGGACCCATGACAGTTAAGTCCAGTCGCAGATGACTCTGGGGTTGTGGCGCTCATCTCACTTTACAGGCCAAGGGAGCTGGCATTTGTCCGCAGACAGTTTTTCCAGGTCATGTGGTCAGCATAACTAAGCCGCTTCTGGAGCAACGGAACACCAAAACCAGAGCAGCACACGGAAACACCGTTCATCTTCCTGCCAGAGCGGTACCTATTTATCTACTTGCACTGGTGTGCTTTTAAACTGCTAGGTTGGCAGGAGTTGGGACCAAGCAATGGGAGCTCACCCTGTCGTGGGGATTCAAACCGCAGACCTTCTGATTGGCAAGCCCAAGAGGCTCAGTGGTTTAGACCACAGCACCACCCGTTTGCCATTGCCTACAAAATCTCATGGAAAATAATAAAAGGTGCTGCAAGACGATGCAGAAGAGTCACTCTGCTGTTTCATATTGTTAACTTCAGCACAGAAATGACTGCCAAAGCCAGGGTTATGCTGTCAGATCCACAGCCTTGACAGTCTGCTACAGCCCTGCCCTATGATTCTCTTCCTGGGCCTACTGCTGACATAGGTATCTCTTTAGATCCCAGTGATCTTGGAGCCCCGCATTGCATTTTTATTGGAAGCCATAAAATAAATGAGGCGTTCATTCCCCAAGGATTGATTTCAGAGTGTTGGAAAGCATTTCTGCACATTGTGAGCAGCCTTTCCAAGAGACTCTTCTTGTTCTGGGATCAGCCCCTCCACTGAGGAACTGCAGAGAGGCATGTAATGCCCGTTAGCGGATTCTCCCATCCAGACCTTCCTCTGTTTGCTAGCAGATGGACATATTTACTGTGTACCGTTGAAAGGCTGCTTGATCCATCTGTGGCCTGCCTTGCAGCAAGCATGGGTGATGTAGAAACCAGTGGGCTAGTGTAGAATGCAGCTACTTGATTCTTCTGGAATAAGGCAAAATTAGCACAAATAAAGCCAAATATTTCTGCAGACACAGTGGCCAAGTGGTTTGAGTACTGGACTAGGACCTGGGAAACCCGATTTCATTTCTCTAATCATCAGTGAAACTCACTTGAGTGGCCTTGAGCTAGTCACTCTCTTTCAGCCAAACCTACTTTGCAGGGCTGTTGTGGGGATAAAATGAACTCCTTGGAGCAATATAAATGTAATAAAAACAAAAGGAGACCAAAGAATGATATGGCAAAACTGCACATGGAAATTTTGTTTGGAGAGCGACACAATTTAATGGCGCTTCTGTGTTAGCGCCAGAAGCCTCAAAAATAAAATGGAAACAGTGGAATGCTTGGTACTAAAAGAGGATAGTGGTGCGTATCAGGGACCTGGTGGAACAAGGAGAACTCAACAGAATACAGTTTTCCCTGGACATAAACGCTATAGAAAGGACGCAGAATCACTGTGGATGGAAACAGCAGGCTCAGAAAAGTAATATAATATTGGGAGCCTACTGTCACCCCTTGACCACATTTCTGAAGGTGATATTGAGGGAGTGAGAAAAAATAGAAAGAGTTACATGACTCCCCTCAGTGGTCAACACATAGCAAATGCTGCCACACAATTTATTTCCCGATTTCCCGCAATGCAAATGTTTTCTTTTGCTTTATGGGCTTCATTATCTTTTGCTGATT